ACAGTGTTGGCCTAGTCAACTTAGTTTAGTGCGATTCTCAATCTGATGTCATAGGTTCTATCCTCGGATGTGCACCAATGGACTTTCTTTCTAGACATGTATTAGACCCAAAAAGTCGACGGCGTGTGTCAGGCACTGGAGGCTGATCACCTACTTGTCTATAAGATTGACAAATGATCATGGAACAGATAAATAAATCTGAGGCCCAGACCTATAAAGGCTGTAACACCACTGATTTTTGACGCACGACCCAATAACGACCGAAGTGAAGTGAAATTCTGCGTTTGAACCCTAATTGTAACCAACAGATTTTATTTTCTTAAACCATATTAATAGTAATAATCCCAATGCTAATGTTAAACTGTTCAGCTCAGTTAAATTCATCATCATTCACCATCATTCATCATAAATGATTCATCATCTATTGCGACCACGTTCGTAGGTAATTTGGATTCTTTAAAAATGTTGATACTAAAGTCGTTTTACGATGTAGCACTGTATGCATTTTACGATCACTTTTGTGAGAAGAATAATATGTTACGACTGGGTGATACAACGCTTGATATTGTAACAAGACTGAAAGGTATAACATGGATATTTAAATTCAATTGTTTCATATTCTGAAGTCCTTCATAACTTTGATTAGATTCTTTATTTACTTGATGACGATTGTATACGGCCAGTGTCAAGGGCAGGAGAAAACTGAATATGTCTAGTGATCAATGAATGGAAACTGTCTTTTGTTACTACGCTTCTATTTTCTTTACAGGATAATGAATTACATTTCTTCTAAAATTCGACAGTTAGTAGTAGCAATAGAGTGTGTCAATGAAAGTTTATTGCCAAATATAAAAAACGTGTGTGTACTTATGTACACGCGTTAGAAGTTATACGTTTTTGGCGTAACAAGATAAAAATATTTTTAATTTTCGCCTTATTCTACGTTTGTAGTAAAAACGACGCTAACAATACGAAAAAAATTACTCTCATCATTTTTCCCTAACGCCCCAAAAGAAGTATAACTTCAAAGTCCAGTACTTTTTGAGCCAATTCGTTAGAAACATACTTACATACAAATCTTTCCTCTTCATAATATTAGTATAGATAAGTGTCTTAAGTTTTGCCATGACCAATTTAACCTAGTTAATCATAATCCCATTAACCAATAAACGGCTCTCAACTGAGAAAGGGAATTAGCCTACAACCTCGGGGTTTTAGTATAATTTCTTAATATCTGGATGTTTTTAATCAGCTGTGAGTTTTTATTTGTTGATTTAATTTTATTGAATTGGAGCCAACGATACGATGTTATCGGTAACAATTTAAACGTGAAAAGTTTGAGATCTTTCTTTATATTTATTTTCACTATACTAATTGTAATTGTTGTAAAAATAATATACAATATTATTTACCTACGTAGTAATAATAATTAAAAGTTGAATAGAAATTAATAGTTAAATAGGAAATTAAAACAAATTTAAAAAGTTTGGTCCCTGTGGCAGTGTACTAATGCTGGCATCATTTCGCTGTATTGCGAAACTTATTCGTTGAGCGAGGAAAGCACCAGCTCTGGGGTCACTTGAGAGCTATTTAGTTAATAGGTGTTTATATTATTAGCTCGACAAGGGAACTCCGAAAAAAACATTTACCTTACACCACAACTTACATAATACTGTCTTTCCTTGGTGTACCTTTAGTTTACCTTTATACTGTGGGCGAGTATTTAGGGTGAGATCTATAGTGCGCACTTGGACTTTGCTCAGACTTACCTTACGAAAAACTTTGCTTAGTGTACACTAAGGTTAAACTATGATTTCGTATTTATAGACATTTTAACGGTGAGATTAAGCTAAGCCCAAGCTAAGACAGAAAATGTCAAAATACAAATTGATGTTTCATTTCATGCAATACTTTGTTTATTATCCTTTAAAAAAGTTAACAATAACAAATATTTAAAAATCTAAAACGGTACACATATATCTTCAATTTATTGTTATTTATGTATTCATTTATTTTATTATTGCAATAACTAGAAATTCACAAGTAACCTTTAGAAAATGTATTAATTATTTAAAGATGACAATAATTTTATTACGTAGAACGGATCGCAATGTTTTGACAACAGCAACAGAGCACTTGTATCAACTATCAACAATTGAAAATTTTAAACCACTTTAATTTATTAAATTGATATTTCTTCAAAACAACGACTGGCTTTGTGACTTGGACCTGGACCAATCTGGATCGTATACCTACTTAAGACCTACGCATTCCCGAAGCACTGTGACGTTTTGTGATTTGGCTTTGTTACATGGACCGCTTGGAAATATCAATATCGAAAGTGACATGATGGAGAGAGAGAGTTCTATCTTCAATAGAAAACATTGAAAGGGTAGGAACTGCAGCCGATATGAATCCACGAATGCCTAAAGTGTTGTATATGTTCGGAACTAATAAAACCAAAATCCTTCCATCCTGTACGGTGAGAATGAATTCAAAAGAAGGAACCGTATATTGAAACACACGGTATTAAATGTGATCCTGACGCTGATCATTACAAACTTGCAACCTTATAACAACAGAGGATCGCCAAACCTACCGCAATTGCAAATACTTATTGCATTAAGGCATAAAAATGCAACTGGATGTTTTCAGGTAATATTGTGTTCATAAATATGTATGGTTTTTCAATTTGATATATTATACCTCTTCTCAAATGATTTTAAATAGTACATATGTTGAAGACTTTTGTCTTCTGACTTTCAGAAACATAACATATATGTGACTAATAATACTTTATTGACATTACAGATGGTGTGTGGTGATCTGAACAGCATAAGCCAATCTACAGTCTGTTTAATTATAAATAAAGTCTCTGCAGAGTTGAGTAAATTACTTCCTAGATTTGTAAATTTTCCAAGAAATATGAACACAGCCAAAACGAAGTTTGAAGAATTAGGAAGATCTAATACTCACCATGGCCTAAACAGTATAATCGGAGCGATTGACTGCACCCATATAAAAATTAATAGACCCAAAGGTATCGCTCACTCTGAAGCATACAGAAATAAAAAAGGGTATTTTTCTGTAAATGTGCAAGCAATAATAGGGCCTGATATGGAAATATTTGCTATAGTGACTAGGTGGCCTGGCAGTTCACACGACAGCAGGATATTTAGAAAATGCCTGTTTTAGTAGGTGACAGCGGTTATCCAGCACTTAACTTCATGTTAACAACACTTTTAAATCCAATGACAAGAGCTGACAATATTTATAATTATTCTCAAATAAGAACTAGGCATATTTTTTAAAGGTTTTTCGGAGTGTGAAAAAGGAAATTTCCATGTTTACAGCTAGGACTACAGTCAAAATTGACAAATACTAGTTATATATTATTATAGCTTGTGCTGTATTGCATAATATAGGTATACAGAGAGGCGATGCTTATGATGATGGTGATCTTGCTGACAGCAGAAGTTGAGTAACACAGAAACAATGAAAGATCTCCTACAGGTCTAGCATTCCGGCAATCTGTGATTGCACAATTTAACTAGGTAATTTGTTTGGTAATAAAGAATATCAAAACAAAACTTGTTTCATTTTAATCATTTATTTTCTGATTCTTTTTTTAAGTGTAATACATATTTCTAATACTAATTTATATTTTTGTTGAAGAAATTCTATTTCTAACAGATTTTTTAATTTCATATGTTCCACTCCTATCTCAAATTTTTTAGGGTAGTCAGGTAATAAATGGTAGAAGATTCAGGGAAACGAAAATAACAGATGTGAAGCGAGAGACATCGGTTAGGTTATGGTTTGAATTTCGTTGTCACTATAATATGCCAGGGCTGCCAGGTGACATACAAAATCACACCAGTTATTTTTAAGATTTCTCAAAAATGGGGTTTGAACAATTACATAAATAATATAAATAAACAACAATAAATACCATAATAATGTGTAATTATTTTATTTCATGCATTTCATAGGTATTTATCAAGATCATTTATAATTTCTTTGAATTCAAATTCTATTTTTCCCAAAGTATATGGAACTCCGATACAAAATGGCAACACCGTTCATTAAAAACCGACAAAAATAAAAAGTCCAGTAAAAGATATGATGGTAAAGCAAATTTTGGGCCATTATTTTTGTTAGGCTTATAGTCAAAGTTTTTGGTAAGTCGTCGATTTCGTGGACTTGAGATTAAGCTAAGCCAACACTAGGGAGAGATTCGCAGTTTGCTCTATAAATACCGACTGTGTTAAGACACAGTCGGTAAGGTAACGAGGTAAGGTAAGGTATCGAGCTAAGGCTCGATAGTTAAGTCAGAGCAAAGTCTAAGTGCGCACTATAGATCTCACCCTTAGACCATAAGTTTGACAATTATACATAACTTATTATTATGACATTATGTTAATGTTCTTATTAAATGACATTATAAAATTTATATGACATTTGCATGCCTATTTATATATGGCAGATTGTGCGGATTTTTGTTGTTGATCGATCTAATTGAACCACTATCTTGGCAAATAAACTATTTATTATTATAGTCTCTGTATTTCCATAATGAATAAGATATTAAACAAGTATATTATCATATGATTAATTATTAGATAATATGTGCATGCATTAAAAAAAAAAATATTACTATTAATAATCCTTAAATTTAAATTACAATCATAATTAAAAATTTCAATGTTTATAAATTTTAAATGATAAATAAATAAATATATAATAAAAACTAAAAACGATCAAAATCAAAATTCATTCAAACAATTTATTATTATTATTTATATACGTAGCGCGATTTTATTTAATTTATAAATTAACACTAGACCTTAAGCGACCCTAAGTTACCCCAACAGTGCCGTGATTGGTGGTTTAATGCATTAATGCATTCCCTTCGAAAAAAAGGATTAATAAAAATAAATGTAAATTTTGTAAGTCTTTGCTTACAAGGCTTTGAATAAAAATATTTCAATAGCACTTACTTCTTTCCGCCTTCGTCATGCTGACCTCATCTCTCTTCCAGAACCTCAAAAAGGGGGCGAGCGCTTTCATGGTGCAGTCACCGTTTAGGACTCTCCTCGTGAGTTTCTTGGGCGATTCCTGTTCGATTTCTGAACTTCTACAGGATGAAGAGTCGTCGCCCATAGACCGTGTTCGACGTCCTCCAAAGTTGACGCAACCACAGCCCTTTGTTAAAGAGAACATGACGGGACTTCTGTCCTTTCTATACTTTTTATCTCTTCTTTTCCGGGCACATCTTGGTGTTTTTTGTCGTGTTTTAGGAATGGTTACTAATGTTCTATCCAAAATTGGGAATCGATGCACTCATGGCCCACTGCTGTACCTGGAACAAAATAGCTTTATAAGGTATCTTTTAAAGCAATGAACTTCGTTTGGACTCGCAATTCTCATACGATGAGGCAAGTATCGTAAGTTTGGAGCAAGATATGGAGACGCGACGAACAAATACATCTTACAAATAAATAAACTTTGTGATTTTAAATATTTAGAGCAGTTGGCCTAGTGGCGTCAGCGTGCGACTCTCATCCCTGAGGTCGCAGGTTCGATTCCCAGCTGTGTACCAATGAAGTTTCTTTCTATGTGCGCATGTAACATTCGCGAACGCTGAAGGAAAACATCGTGAGGAAACCGGCTTGCTTTAGATTAAAAAAGTCGATAGCGTGTGTCAGGCACAGGCTGATCACCTACTCGCCTATTAGATTGACAAATGATCATGAAACAGATACAGAAATCTGAGACCCAAACCTAAAAAGGTTGTAGTGCCACTAATTTGTATTAATTTTTAATTAATCTATTAAATATAGGCAAATCTCGCTCGCACCGTATTTAGTAATTTTTTGCAATTTAGAAATCTTAAAATTATACATTAAAGCGGGCTTCACCTATAACAGAAATGAAAATATTATCCTAGTGGAACCTATTTAATCATTCTAGGGTAGATGCATATATGTGTACAAGATGGTATTTAATAATTAATAATATTTTTGAGGTGAAACTTCTTTAGGCGCATATAAGGGTAATTTTTTACGGAAATGTCACAAAAACGCTGCACATCGCACAATTAAAATTTAAATTAGCAGCACAATTAACGGTTTTCGAAGAAAAGGGTGAGAGCGATTGAGACCGATTGAGAGAGAGTGAGAAGGGCAAGTTACTATTATCATAGAATTTCTATAATTATAATAATAGAAATTCTATTTTAAAATTAAAATTTCGTAAAGAGAATTTATGAAATATTAGTATTTATTTTATGCAAAATAATTTATTGAAATCTCAAATGACGAATTGTAAATTAAAATGCCACGTGTTATTATTATCGAAGAACTAAATTTTAAAAATTCAATTTATAATTTGTATTAATTTTCGACAATTTCAATATTTTAATGACAATTAAATTCCTAACATATCTTCCTTTTTCCCTCCCTGTAAGTATCGGAATTCTAAAGTTTTAGACATGTATAAATATGAACAAGACTTAAAAAATAATTTTCCAAAGAAGTTTCACATCTGACATCTGTACTTCGTACGCACTCCCTTTTATTTATTTAAGCAAATCATAGTCGGGTTATTATTGTGTTACAATATTGTCCTTAATTTAGATAAGACATGTTTTATTTTATTAATTAATTTAATATACTGTATTAACAATATGCTTAACCTAAAACGTAATGTTAATAATAAATAAAAACTGATAAATAGAAAATTAAACAACAGCTCTGGGTTCACCGGTACTATCTACTAGGCGTCATCTTAAATCTTTAATGCCGCACAGCATTTAAACCCCACGGCCCAAGAGTCTCTACTTCAAAGGGAACAAAATCGAAGTTGAAGGAAAGACTGAAGTAGGTTAGCATTAAAGTTTATTCAATCATAAAATTATTACTGCTGACAGATGTCGTAAGACAAATTTTCAAACTCGCCCGTAATCTTGACCGGGTATTGGGTAAATAGGGCGGGTATATTTCCCCGTTGACGAACGAATATACCGCATTCTGTTCAGATTGCATTCATAAATAATTGTATGCATGAGCTATTATCGTCTTTGAGCTCAGTTAAATAGTTTAATCTACATTGACAAGAGGTTAATTACAAATTGACATTAATGTTTTTATGTACCATTTAATACAAAAATCATATGTGTATATAAAGAAATATCCAGCATAATAGTTGCTATCCTTGGAGATTTCTTTTCCTGCCTACCAAAAAGCGTTTAAATCTTAATATAATTAAATTACGCGTCACGTTGTTGGTCCGCTATGGACTCCTAAACTACTTAACCGATTTCAATCAAATTTGCACACCGTATGCAGTTTGATCTTACTTCAAAGATAGGATAGCTTAAATATATATATATATATATATATATATATATATATATATATAATTCTACTGTACGTGTGTATGTCACTGAACTCCTCTTAAACGGCTGGACCGATTTGAATGTTTTTTTTTCTAGGTTTTCAGCCCATCAGATTACGCTGCTGTACTTTCATACTTTGTTTAATATCCTAATCGCTTGAAATATCATGCTGGACAACGTCTGTCGGGTCCGCTAGTTATGTATATAATGTAAGGTTCGCGATAATATTCATTTAATATATGTATTAAAATAATTACCAATGATAAATTACTGTGGTAAAATCTTCAAGAAAATTCTTATTTTTCCGGGATTTTCTTATTCCTGCTATTTTCTTTATGTAATTAATTAGCTCACTATACCCTCTAAGCTTAATCATTAATCTTTTGAAGAAACACGAAATTTACTACACAATTAACGGTTTCCGCAATTTAATTGATCACGCACTCTTACTTTCAATGCCGCTGTAATTTAGTGATTAACACGTATGAATTCTGGGTTTGACTCCCGGCAATAATAGAAAATTTCTAGGCACAGAGGACCGACCTAATCTAATATATAATGTTCGTTCCCATACTCCACCGTTTCTTATGATTTTTTTTATATATATTCAGTAAGTCTGAGAATCGGTTATTATCTATCTTTCAAACCCCTAAGTGATAAGGGGTGTCCACCCCAAAATTTTGTCTTTTAGACATTTTTTTTTTTTTTTTTTTATGATACAGTATACAAAAATACATACAACCCTTAATTGTCACCCCTCTACGATCAACCCCTATTTTTTATTAAAGTAGATAGTTATTTTTATTGAACTAAAAAAATGTTCCTAGAAATAATATACATACGACGTTTGCTGGGTCTATAAAAAAAAACAATCAAAGAGACGGGACGTAATGCCAAATGTATTTAATAAAAAAAACTATTTGAGATTGATTCGAAGTTTTATTAGATTGAGTAAATCGCGCTAGTTCTGATGTACATGATTTAGACTAAACAAGGCTAAAATTAGTCGGAGCTTGTCAAAATGCCATGAAATAATTAGATCGGAATAAAGTTGAAATTTATTCAGTGTCAGTTCTCATGTGGACTTGTTAAAGCCATCGCGGGATGCTCAAATAGTTGAATATCCATAACGCTAAATAGCCTGCATAATAAGTGTACATTGTGTTACCTATATGAATAAATGATTTTTGACTTTCGATTTTTGTTTAATGTAATGACTTTTGAATATTGCCTGCAACGGAGAACTTTTAAATGTAATTAGAGTTAGTTAACACAATGTACACTTATGAACGTTAAAAAAGAAATACATATCAAATCAAGGGTTTAGAACGGACGAGAAGAGCTGGCAATATACTCTCCGTCACTCTTCTTAATCGCCAAGTTTTTGGTATTACACAACGTTTGTAAGGAGCTGCAACCATTTCACCATGTTTCACATGACATCTTAAGTAATTAATAATAGTATAAAACTGAAAAAGCACAGATTTGTCCTCTATCAGCAGTAGGCATGGTGAAATAGGTGCACGCACTTACATTACAGATAGATGGAAAGAGTCACTTATAATTAAAGTCCCTCTAAAGAATCAATGACCCTTGCGGCAAATATTGGTTTGTATTAACCTGAAGCCATTTGAATGCAGCTCGTGAAATCGATTCACTTCATTCCCCAGAGTTAGCATATTTTGCAGGAAAAATATATTCTGAAGTAATCTTTAACGAGCTATATCTGAAAGTTAAATTGTACGCTCTTTTCACTTAATATTTTTCTAGCTTTGAAGTTTTTAACATTGACATTAATGTTTTATGGCGCTTCTAAACGGGCCATGTTTTGCTGCAAATGATGGCTGCACTGTTGGCAACTAATTGCCCGGCCATTAGAATAATATTCTAATGCAGCTGATGGCCGAACAATCTATGGCTGGGCAATAGTATGGCCCATGATGCAGACTCCTAAACGGGCTACACAAACCGGCAACAATGGCTGACAAAATCACACTTGTCGCAGCAGCTTATATTGTTTTAAAAAAAGAAACAGAAAAAGAAGAGATTGTGGATTCGACCTTACTTAAATAGGCGTGAAACTGTAGACAATTTGAGTCTAGAAATAAGCCTTGATAATAAATTATTCAAGAACTAGAATGTCAAAAGCAGTCATTTTTACGTAGTAAACTAACGTCAAATACAGCTGATCGCAAAACACAGAATATAGCAACAGGCACACTTTACTCATAGCAAACGTCATGTCGCGTAGAAAAGGATACACTGTGCCATAACAAAGAGAGTGACTGAAACAACAATAGAACTGGCTGTGCAATATTGCAGTTGAATTCGATAGCCTAGCGATCGTCCGGCAACCCATCGGGGCAACATCGGCCATATGTGGCTATATAAAACATTTGTTTTGCTATATGGCCGGGACATTACTGCAATATTGCATAGTGTGGCTACTATTGTTTGCAATGTTGCCGGGCCACAGTGTTGCAGCCATCAATTGCTGCAAAACATGGCCCGTTTAGAAGCGCCATTAAATAAACTATAAAATCATCTACATAAACCTTCTTATAGTGATCAAAGGTTTGCGATCATCATGGCTACTTTTGGATGCCGCCCTTCTGAGCAATGACTTGGTGGTTTGACCAAATCATTGCCTAAGATTCTTAATCCAATCTACTACTAAACGGTTGCTATGATAGTTGCGTTGCGTAGAGATGTAGGATCTCCTTGCATAATCTATTTTTACTATTCAGAAGAGTTATTTAGATTAATAGCTGCAGCTCAGTTTCATCATCGGATGTTGAATCAATTCAACTTAGGTTCCTTCAAG